AAATAGAAATGTACCATTTCTTTTAAAAATGGCTTTTTTTTTTTGCCATGAGCTGGGCTAGGACAGGTTTTAAGTTAATTAATTTGTCCTTTTCTAAACTTCATTAATTCAGCAGATTTCTGTCCTTATTCTGGAAATGGAGCTTGCATATAAAATGGTTTCCAACATTTATTTGCAATTTCAGGAAAATGGTGCAACTGGTTTTTTGCAAGTTGAGTGATTTCTCAAGCCATTTTTTTAGTTCCTCATCCCAATCATTAGTCAATGCATATTTCTGAAACTGGCAGAAAACTGAGATAAAACCAATTACTTTCAGTTTTTTAATTCGGAGCTCAATGGTTTGTATGTCAGTGCTGAGATCAAGATGACAGAGCTTCTCTAGCTCCTCTTCCGTCTCCATTAACCAAACCCAAACATTGTTCAAGTCAGAATTGAACTGCTGCCACTGCTGAAGGTTCTGTTTCATTCTCAGTTCTTTGCTTAGAGCTTGGGCTTGGATTAATTCCCATCGATCAATCACACCTGCCAAAGCACAGACATCATATAATAAAAACAAAGACACATACATAATATGCACAACTACATGAATGTTTACATTAAATACAACATCCGGTATACAGCAGCCTAAACAAAATATTGTCACCCACAAAATTAAGTTAAGACAGCACTGAGTATGTGGCTTTACATAGCAAAGGATGGACTAACTGATCTAATAGGTCTTTTTAACTCATTTCTACAATTTTATGGTATTCAAGGCTGTGTGAAAATAATATTCTCCATCTATACTTGCATGCACACTTCTACCTACCCATATTATAGCACTTACATTTACAAAGGCAATTGTAGATACAGGTTGAACCTCTCTAGTCCGGCACTTTCTGGTCCATCATGATTTTAGTTACAGATGTCCATTTATCCTGGGTGCGGCCAAGTTCCCCTCAGTCACAGAAAGTTTGTTTACAGCCACCAGTCCTGGCTCTCAGTGTTCTGTGCTATTATTTAGCTCTAATTTACCCCTAATTGTCTTCTGAGATCTCAGCAAGCAGTGGAAGTTTTGGTAATGCTGCTAGAGAATATTGACCTCCCATGGTCTGGCAAACTCTCCAGTTTGGCATTGGTCAGGTTCTGAGGGTGCCTGGCTAGACAGGTTCAACTTATATTAGTTAGTTTTCACAACAGCCCTGTGAGGTAGGCAATTATTTTATTATCCCCAATTCACAGCTGGGGAGACTGAGGCAAGAGATTAAGTGTCTCATCTACAGTTACACAAGAATTCCCTGCCAAGCCAGGATCAGAACTCAAGAGTGCCTTCTTTCTATCTTGGTGCACGAGTCCCATGGATCAAACCATTTTGATTACATAATGAATGAATGTGCTCACAATAAATATTTTGCAGATAGCCATTTGTGTGTGTAACTAGCCATGTGCACATGTAATTATTGCTATTTGCATGCTTAGACTTTTTCCAATAAAATGTTCATCTTTCAATAAACATGCTTAAATTATTGCCAGTGTATAAGACAAATGTTTATGCAACATGGTGATAAATCAAGGCTGTTTTCCATACTCATTCACCCTATGTGCAGATAGTTGAGAGAGACAGGTTACAATATTCACTTTGCTAAAAATTTAAAAGTAATTTAGATCAGTGATTAAAAGAAGCACAAATGTTATTTTGTGAACACAGATTTTAGATTTCCCTCCTATCAGATATCTAATGGGCATGTGCAGCATTGAGCAAGATTTGCTCAAGTGCTTAAGGCTGGAGTAATGCGAGGAGCTACTTAATGAGTTTACTTAATATGTATACAGGTGTTTGATGCTTATGCCTGATCAATACACAGAATGGATTCATTCTTTTAATAAAATATTAAATAAAGGTTAAATGGACTGTGAAAACAATCATACAAACATACGCATATGGAGTAGCACAAGCTTGGTCAGAATTTTAGCAAATTCCTACTTTTCTGCATAATTCCAAGTGCTTACTCTGACCAACACTATTTATGTTGCTGCTTATTTCACACATGTTTTCCATGGAAGGATTCAACACTACGTACCAGCTGTTTGTGTTTCAGTACTGTTCAGGTTTATAAATCCAGCTAGCTTTTCCTCTTCTTCTTTCAGTTTGTAACCAAGCCTTTTTACTGAGTCTATGCTGCCACTACATTCACCCAGTAGCTTCATCTGTTTAAAAAACAAAAAAACAAAAACAAAATCAAACAAAAAAAACCCCAGTTCTCATTAATTTATGCCATGGTAGAAACACTCTAGAGGTAAAGGGCTAATTATAAAGAAATTAAAAAAAAAATCTGAAAATGGGTCTTCACATGACAGAATGGGAAGAAGTCTATTGTTTTAATTATCTGCCAATTGTGAATGTATCTCTCCATCTCAAAAGCTTTTAGATACACTAGCCAACAGCCTCAACGAGATGCCATCTCTCTTGATATTACTTGCATCATTTTTGCGTTGATTAAAAAAACAAGAACTGTAAATATGTGGGATTTAAGGGATTAAATGTAGAGTAGAGGCTCAAACTCCATTAACAGAAATAATCCATTGCCACTGTTCAAAGGTATTGCCAGAGTCAAAGAATGGAGGTCTTCAGGAGGCATTTATTCTATAAACTTTTAGAATTTAGAACTGTGGTCCCCAAACATCTGAGGGTATTTCCCCGTCCCCCTTTACCCATCTGTGCTCCCTCACAGCCAGTGGGTCTAGAATCACAGTCAGGGGCCCAGGCTTGAGGTAGGGGCAGGGATAGAGCTGCTGCTGGGCTGAGATAGGGGCCAGCAGCTATGCCTGTGCACAGGTGTGGCTCCTCTCCCAGCCATGGCTCCAGGCCAGGAATGGAGCAGCAAGCAGCTGAGACTGAGGACTGGACCTGAAGTGGCCCTGTGCTGAGGCTGAGAACAGGAGCAGGCATGAGACCAGTAGCCGGTGTTGCATCTATGAGTGGGTCCATTGCAGAGCTGGGGGCGGGGAGGGCTCAGTGATGTTCCCATCCTGTCCCAAAAGGGTGCTGACCCAAGCACCACTGTGCCCCCCCAAAGATTCCTCTGTGCCTCCCTGGGGGGCACACCCCACAGTTTGGGGGCTTCTGCCGAAAAGTAGGTGAGGAGACTAGGAGATGTGGGGAGCGAAAGAAACATACACAAGTGTGGAAAAATGTGGTATATTCACACACAAAATCTCTTTCATTCTGACAGTAATGTCAGACTCATAGAAATGTAGGGCTGAAAGGGATCTCAAGAAGGTATCAAGTCCAACGCATTGTGAAAAGGCCGGACCAAATTAAACCTAGCTTCTTGCAACACTGTTTGTTGCAGTTTATTCTACAAAGTTTTCTGATTAAACTTTTATCACTGATTCCTATACAATATGGGTCATGTGATGCATGCTAACCTGTATTGTTAAAACAAATATCTTGCCTTAGTCTATAAAATTCTACACTTAAGAGATCAGGAAGTTTCTTTTAAAAACAAGAATGATCTTATTACAGAGATAAATGGGTGCATGTGAAATTATTCTGGCACATCAACACATAAAAAATGGAAAATGAACTCTGGGTTCTACAGTCTCATGGTAGTATAAACTCACAAATAATTATATAACCTCAAAATAACAATAATTGCTTGTGATCAAGAGAAACAATTAGGTGTGTAAATGGGGCTGTGAGACAGTAAATTATTAGAGACAATACCTAACAATCTGTTCTACTCCAAGAGCCATAATTTTTAATGGCTCTTCTATGTTCGTATATTAGGACTTGCATTCTTAATATAGTGCCCTGTCAAGTGAACTGTTACGTTAAATTCAATCACTAGGTGGCAATACACCTGGTACTCACATATCCTTTGTAACTGGAATCTAGCTCTGGTCCTGTGGGTGTTTTGCTGCGAATGATGTTTTCTGTTTGCTGTATTTGGAAACGACTAGTGTCCAAGGCCTTGTCCAGCTGACGGATGTGTGTTTCCAAGGCACCTGGTTCTCCTATGGCAAAAGTGCAAAAAAGATATGACTATTGCTTTGAGATTTTTCAAACCTTTGCTTTACATCCAAGGAAAAAATGTAAGGATTACTAACCAGGTTATACTGCATGGAAAAGGTGGCTGCAATAGCACACATGTAGAGAAATGATAAAGCAACTTTTATGTGTGTTAGCAACTTTTTAGAGGAGGGATGGTTATACTGATGAATGTGTTTGCCATGAAAATAGTATCAAAGCTTTCATAGATGCAAACAGGCCTGCA